CATTGTCGAGAGTACCGTATTTCCCCATCCCCGTTCACTCCAACACGACAACTCAATTCTGAATCGTTCTCCCTTGACTCATATTAACAATGTTCCTATGTCATATATGTACACTGAACCAAGAACCTGTTCTCCTTCCGTCGTTTTCATCATCGATGGAACCGCCTCGACATCGACGGCCAATTGGCTAATTCTTTAGTCGTTCCTATGGGCGCGTCAAGTCATTCAGTGTTCAGTACTCAGTAGTTCAGTACTCTTTTAATCGTCATAGTCACTCCTTTATAGTCAGCTAGAATCTTTTGATGGCTACTGTTTTCCACATGATTCCTTCAATTCACACTACTTTCTATCGTTCCCAGTGACGGTACTGGGTGTCACTGGTATTGGAAACAAGTCTATCTCTTGGTCGACTACTCGAGTTTAAAAATTTTTTTGAATGTCTCAAATTCTTGACATGTTGAATTCCAGAAGAAACCTTCTTCGACACTGCGCAGGCCAAAAAATATAATGAAAATGCTTTTGGCGTTGATCCAAGTGCCTTCTTGGTTTTGTGCCACCTCCCTCCACTCCCATTTAGAAAATAGAGACTTTCAAGTGCAAATCGGCTCCCACAATTCCACAATGGCTAGGGTAGTCGATCTATGGTCAACTGTTTTGTTCCTTTGTTAAGGCGAATCGCCCACCTTCCCAATTCCTAGGGATTTAAGGGCTTGTGGGACCCGGCCAGGACCCGATCCGGGATCCCAGTCCGCGGATTCCACGATTTTTAATTCACGAACCGCACCACTTGCCCACTACTTCACTCCGTCCTTCATCGCAGCTAGTAAGATAAGTGAGATAAGCATATTGGCTTGTTTCATCCCTACGTAGCAATCCAAATAAGCGCTACGTCAAGCGCTATCTCTCGTGGAGTATGGGTTATAACATGAGCGGAACCACAGAATGGTTACTAAACGCATGTAAAGGCGAGGTCTTCACCGCTGTTCGATTCCCACCGCTATGGCCCACTGAATGCGATCTGGCCTCTACAATGACTTGCAGCGACCAGCCGATGTACGAGTTATGTTGCCTATCCTCCTAGACGAACCTGACCTACCAATTTACCGTCCACGGAAGGTAGAAGCCTCGGTTGGCTTGGTCAGAGCCGATCAGGGATTCGAGCCACAGACCGCGCTGTTAGTGGCCGCGCCTTTTGCCAACTCACGCACTTCCGCTTAATCCCAAATAAGGACCACGAAATCCTGCTAATAAACCATTCTTTATAGTTCCTGTGTATTTCCTCTGAATATCTCTGCAGACTCGGAGAAAAATCTCTGTATTTTCAATATTTATATTGACGCCTTTTAGCTTTAAATAGAAAAATCCACGGGAGATATCATTCCCACTCAATTCTTTTGAATTAGCTGTCAGCTACAAGAAGGAAAAATGACCTTTTTTAGGAGAAAAAATTTCGCTCAGGATGTTCCTATTGTGGGCTTAGTCATTGCTGTGTTATTCATTTCATCCATCATAGATTCTCCCATGAACTTGCGCGCATGGGATCCGCTCTGAACAAAAAACACATGAACAGCCGATTGTGAAACCCGTCGGGGTATCATCGATTCCCATAGATGGTCGGTTGCTGAAGTTCCACCGAAACTTCCAAAGAACAGGGCGCTGCCCTGAGAGGGACAGCTTTTCTTGGAGAACGACCGCTGCTGCATCGGGTGAGGCTTTTTTTGTCCCAGTGTTGGTCGCCAGACGGTCACGACAATCGTAAATCGCCGCTCGGCCGCACGCGGCTATGGCGCTGCGTTCATTTCTTAATTTGCATAAGCCTATCAATTTGGCGCATAAGTCTATCAGGGGCCCCGGACATTGAGACGTGGCAGTTCGGACGACGGGGGGAGGAGGGGAATTTGGACTGTTGCTACTTCCCATCGACGTCTACCCATCTAGACAGCCTCTTCTCGAGTTGACAGGTTTTACCATGATGGCTTGGCGAGCTTCCTGAAGCCTCACAAGAAATCACAGGTTTATTTACACAGGTTTATTTTACAACACAGTCAATCACAGGTTTATTTTACAACATAGTCCATTAATCTCAGTTTCAAAGATTTTATTATCCAGAGTGAGACTAGTAAATCGGAACTATTGAAGCAACGAAAGTGCAAAATGCCCCCCCCCTCCGGCAACTGTGTCGAACTGCACTACGTCATCTTGGACAAGTATGACTATTTTTTAATACATTGTCCACTGTGGAAATTTGTCATTTTACTGTGTAGTCAACTTGCGAAAACCTGAAGCTATTCCTTACCAAGTTCGACTAGGGAACTGACCACGAGTAAACATCTTTTGGATGACAAACACCACCAGCGACAAAAGTAACCGTAGATGATTCACCGAGTTTTGATTGAGATAGCAGGAACGACTCCTAAGTTCTCATTATCACCACTTCTGGTAAGAACATCCTTCAGTAATTTTTTTTCCTTGATAAGGTCATCACAGCACGTGACCTTTCAAGGACTTTGGCATCCTTGAAGATAAACGTCTTTCATCAGAGAAAAAATTTATCAAATCAGGAGGGTTCCTTCTGAACGTACCTGACCCTTCCAATGCCGGTCATTCGTCAAAAGGTCACACTGTGGTAACGAGCGACCCCTCCAGTGATGGGAGCCCTGGAAGTCATTCGGCTGGATATACGTGCGCAGGCTTGTGGTGTTCCTGGAGGGCTTGAGGGGGTCATTTCGGAGCCTTTCGAACGAGCCACTGAACCTTTCAGCGATTCTTCTTGGTAGGTACAAGTTTCTGTTTTGGTCGTGGACTGTGACTTTCACGTATCGCTTCATAGATTCTTCAGTCGCTCCGCGACCGCACGCGTCTCAGTGTTTAGTTTCTCTAATTGCTTGCTTCTTTCCTTTCCTCTTCTCTCTTATCCATTCCATTGGAAGGCTTTCATTGGTCCTGAATTTGGTGTCCCTCGAAGCGAAGTTATCGTAGCCTTTTCCTTACTAGTTTCACTAATCACGTGGTTTACAATAACCTTACCGAATTTCTCGATTGGTATTTATAACCGTGCTGTTTCTAAAATCGTAAATTTTGTTCGCACTTGAGTACTACTGCTCAGTGTGCTCTTCAAGGGCAGCAGTATTTCCAGATTTTCAATGAACGTTTTGGATGTTTCTGTAAAAGTGCTGTTGGACCTTATCATAACAAAAGTGCGCACTTTACGGTGAGTTCATGGCGGCGATGAGAACTGAACGATGCTTCCATAGAATAAAAATCATGGCTCCACTGTTCTCTAACAACTTCTTGCTCACCTGAAGTTCAAGTGCATTTGTGCGACCAGCTTCCTATGAGAAGTCCTCACTCCACGGGGCTAGTGAAGTCTGCACCCAGAACCCCTGAAACTTCACGCTACAAATTTTATCGCACGCCAGATCTTCAACTGCCCTCAGCGATGTTGGAGTCTCTGTTTCTCAGAAGCGAGGCGTTGTTTGTCTGTATAAGCAGAAGCACTAGCTCTAAGTTTCCAAGCTCGAATCCGGGCCGGAGCAAAGAATTTTGCCCACATCTCGCATCTCTTTGTGGTAATTTTCAGTGTCCAAGGTTGCCTTTCGACCCCCGACAATCAATGCTGTATAAATACAGTTCACTTCGGAGGGCAAAATGGTTGCCTGTGTCACTTCGTCGTCGTCACTCCATGCCAACTCCTATACATGCGTCTCTGCCTTTTTTTCGACTGGACCCTCCCAGCCATCCCTGCGATAGCAACCGCGCTCCTTTTTGGCAGCTATGGACTGTACTCAGTGTAGATCGATAACTAATCAGATAGGTCGTTTTTTAACCAGGAATCATGAATGGAAACCGTAATGAGTGGCTGGGCCCTCATCTCCTTCAGAGTCAGCCTTTTGCGCCAAGTCATCCTTGGGGCTAAGAAGAAGCTAGAGAGATTCGCTGGACCCAACCAGACAGGTCCAGTTCTTTTGTAGTTATGGCAACCACCTGTTCCCCCTTTACATCTCCTTCTTCTACAGATGTCACACCTTCTCAACGTAAGAAGTCGTTCTCTGTGACGGCTAGTTAGAATGTTCTTCAGTCTGGCACTGAGAATCGAGATCAATCACATAAAACCCGATTCGAAAGCAGTTTTTCTTGTCCATTCGTTTAATCCGGTTCGATAGCACCACTCGCATTCCCAATATTCTTTTGTAGCTTACAGTAATATTCTTCTCCGTGGGAAACGGCCCGAAAAGCTATCGATATCTAGGTTTAATTGAATCGTAAGGGCCAGTTGAATGGCGTGTCCTACAACCGATCTCTTATAAACGAGGCATCAGTTCGCAATCTATTTATTGCCTGAAATCTGTTCGTTAGGATTGCTCGGGTGAGATGTATCGGCATTCGTGTGTTGTCGGCTAGAGTATTGCTTATGTTCAGTTTTCCTTTGATAAGCGATACTGGTGAGGTCTCCGCCCATATGACCAGCGCGGACTAGACCTTTTTAGAGCGCGAATCCACCATTTCCAGTGAGCATTATGGTTGATGCGTTATCAAAAGGGACGGAATGAGCTCGCTTGCGGATATCGCGCTCCACCAATGGTGACTGGAAACAGATTTTGGAAGAAAACAAGGATTGGAACTCCGTGGGTGGGCTCATTCCATCCCTCTTGACCCCCCCCCCCCTGCTGATTGCAATGAAATCAAATGTAGCCTTCTTCGAAACGCCGCTGTGATCCCGTGTTCATATGATGGGAAACACCGAAAGCCAAGTGTGACCGGATGTTTTTAATGTATCTCATTAGATCAGAACAAAACACGTGCAAGCGCCAAATATAGCCTATCCGCGTGATGTTCTGTGCGTGGGCGGGGCTGCAATGGTTGCACCGTGTGCCCACCTTATCATTGTTATCTCTCCCATCCTTCTCCCTCCATGTATTTCTTTGAACGTGCTTCCTTTCGCATGTCATCATCGCGTCGTTCATTGCCTTATAAAAAGTCAATGATTGCTTTCATTCCAGATGAAGTGCCCTTTGGCGAGCAGTCCAACTGCAGCAGAGCTTCTAGAAGCCAGTAAAAAGCTTTACGTAAAAACTGACGTGCTGAGACAGCGAAAAATCGGTACGTTTTTTTCGACCATCGGCTTTATATGTACCTTGGTTTACTTTACTACCATTTGGGTATCCCGTTTCTGATGTCATAAAGGCCTTTCGAAATGTAACATGTGTGTAACGTTGCCCTTAAATTACGGTGTTTTCGCTCGACACGTTTGCACACACGCGCTGGAACTTGGAATGTAACTCTACCAGTCTCAGTGGAAACCACTCCGTCATTGCCTTCTTTGCATTGCAAAGGTTCCATGCATGGTAGAAAACCACTTCCATCGCAGTAAAGATCGATATCGGTCATTTCAGAAAGCTATCTTGAACGATGAAAGGGGGAAGGGGCATTGGAACGACCACCATTTGCGAGAGGGAAGATTTTCTTCAGAATACTTGAATCTTTAAATGCATGCATATACACTCCATATCCCGTAGATGGAGTGGGCGTGGCTGTGCACCACAATTAAGCATGATGTGAAGTGCGTCTTCGTGGGAATTCCAAGGCAGCTGTCATCCTGTCCTATACGGACCATGACATGATTAGAATAGTCTCAAAACAGCAACATTGTGAAGCCCATTCTAGGCCACGTTCAAATGGCGAACGCAGACACGCCCATCCCATCTCCAGGGTATGGAGTGCATCTCTGCGAAGTACATCTGATCCTATGATATCAACTCGTGCATATCAGATAGCCAGTAGTTACCAAAAGTCTCGGACCTCTTTGCTGTCTGAAGGGGGGGGGTACCAATATGGAAAGTGTGCCTGGGTGCCTCCGCCCATATGACCAGCGCGGGCCAGACCTTTTTAACCGCTAATGATCACCATGTCTTTTTTACTCATGATGTTTCTGGTTCTGTTCCAAGTTCACTTGTTTAGTGAGAGTTCGAGGGCTCATATTGCCATTTGTAAACCCGTTGTCCCTCGCCCCTAATTTAGCCCAGGCAACTCCTCTACCAGCCTGGTGACATTGCGACCTCTAATCAAACTTATCACCTTCATGAAAAAAACGGTAAGCCAGAGGAGCTAGGCGAACACCAAGAGTCGTAAGGTAGTCTTTTCTCTTTCCAGCAGTGACCCCACTTCTTCTCTCTAGCAGTACCCCAAATAAGCTGTGGTGGCAAATTTGTTGGCAAACTATCGAGCAGACGCTTTTAACCAGCTCCCTTTTTGATTTTTTTTTCTGATTTTTCGTCTCATGGTTAGCCGTGTCATGAAATTGACAGCCCTATACCATAGCGGTTTGGGCTAGCACCACTGTGCCAATGGCACGAACAGTTGCCACGCCTCCTATCCAGCTCCTTTGGTACCTTCGCATAGAAAAAGCAAAAAAAAGTGAACATTACCTGCCTCAGTTTCAATAGTATTTTTTTAGAACCTGGACAACCCCGTCTTTTTCAATCTACTGACGACGAAGACCACCCATGTCCGAAAGTGAGTGGTCTCTTCATTGACCTAATTAAACTAATTCATCGGCTTGATTCATTAAAAATTAGCCGGTTTTTGTCGTTCTCCTCCTATAGCGCTTCCGCTTCCACTTTTTTTAATATCCAAGAAATTCAATGGTTCCAAAGCTCAACTGAAGCCACTTTCAGCTACCTTCTCCTTCATTGGTCGTTCCTCACATCCCATCAAAACGGTCGGCTTTTCGAATAGTCCGTGAACCACTTTCGCCACCGAAAAAAGAATCCGTTCCTCTACGGTTTACAAGGTGGGCAACTTCCTGGTTCATAGAATGAATTGAGGTTCATTTTGGCTCGTTCACTTTTTGTCGCCGAACTATTACATTATGGCGCCTGCATTATGACATTCGCGCTGTCTCAATGGCGTGAAGTGTCAGGGTTATTCCGATTGGAAATATTGAATGGAATTACATTTCAGATATCCTGTGACTGTAATTAGCCCTCCTCCTCCACCATATCCACGAAGCAGTTCGTTATCGCAGCACTCTCCTGAATCTGAGCAGCCTGCTCCCGGTTGGAAGCCGACACCCAAACCTCGACTGAGCATAATGGTAAGCATACTCACATCTCTAGAAGTGCACTAGAAACTTTTTTGTAAGTATTGCCCAGCGCGGTCACGTTGCGGCTATGGAAACGATTTTGTCGCATCGGTCGAGAGCTGCTTATTTATCTGTTTGGGACCAAAAAGTTTCGGCCAATTACGGAAATTCCAAGCATTTCTGGAAACGCTAGTTTTTTGGCACTCGAATGACGCTTCCACTGCAGTGCCATGAGGCCGCGTTGCTGCTCGGGTGTATTTTCACTGCGGATCTGGGGCGTGTCAGAGGGGCTGGTTTTGGCGCCGTGCCAGCCTGTCCTCCACCAATTGTTGAGGACGGCAAGCGACAACAATTACTGGGAAACGGGCTTCCGCATGCCAAGCCTCAACCGCTCTTTCTCCTGACACGCACGCCCCAGCAATTCCACGAGCAAAATTGTATATTTTTTGCGCTTTTGTGCCAAATGAGAGTCATACTCCTGTCTATGGTGTTACACTACCCTTACCGCGAAACAAATTTTTGAAGAACACCGACCAGTTCCGATGAAATTTTAACTGAAAATCAAAAAGCTGAGTCGCTGATTGTGATTAGCGCCTTGTTGGGAATAATATAGGACGCAAGTCAGAAATGGAGGGAGGTTGCCTTCAAGGGCTCTTCGTGCAAACTCGAATTACCGTAATGGAGATGAATCTGGGAGTGAAGTAGCTCCGAAAGGGGTAGGCCAACTTCTTTGGACAAAAAGGGCTTTCACGTCACGGTAGTCCAAGTTTTGCACACCCCCCTCTTCAAAGGCTGTCTTCTCTAGCCGACTTGCAGTTAATAAACTGGTGGTACTTTTCTGAAGGTGGGGTAACGGATGAAATTTCAGCGATCCATGGTGGAACTGTCAACGATGGATTCTGAGCAGCCACGTCCAAAGCCACGACGAAAGGTGTTGCTGAGCGAACCGACTCCTACTGAAACACAAACTACCATTCAAAATGTGACTTCCACGAAATCTCTGCAGAACTCGCCGTTGGGCTACAGAAAGAAAAGTATTGGTGAGTTTCTACATAATATTTCATTTCTGATACGTTAAGAGCCAAACACCACTGATGCACAAAAATATATGTTGGGCATTTTTTGTGGGCGAGGGGGGGGGCAGAGAAACTGGCCATGCCTCAGTATCCTTTCCCTAAAAAAGCTCAGGGCGCAGACGACCAGAATCGCCTAGGGATAGATCCCGCGGAGGAGACATAGTTTTCACCAAGCCTAAGCACTGACTGGAAGAAGGGTTATGGAGGCGCCGGCAAGTGCTACGCACCCTCCGCCCACTCCCCAGCCCTGTAAGTCAGGGCAAAAAAATGTCGTATGATTGCGGAGTCGTTGCATCATTTACTGTCTCAGGACGGAAAGACCGACTGAGAAGGCAAGGTAGGCTTGGCACCGCCCATATGACGAGCGTGGAACTCGGTTTTAACCAGTACAGAGTTGGGCGTGCATGTTCGTTGTGTGAGATAGGAACGCCACAGCCAATCAGTTTACAGAAAGGTCTTTTC